GCAGAAAATTAGTGAAATTTAGTGTAAAATTATGATAACCACCATGCTGAGTCTTGAGTGCAGCAGAAGATGAAATAGTAGTGGAAAAAAAGGAAAGATTATGTATTAAGTCACAGTCTTGAAAGTCAAAAGACCGATGTTCAGTCCTAGCGTGACCTTGAGCAACTCAACTTCTGTTCCTCCTCTTGCAAACAGGGAGGACTGTCTGCTACAAAGAAGGAAATGTACCAATTATTATAAATTACTTCTAGATGCTGTGATATAAAATGCACTGACACCAGAGTCAGCAGGATTTTCTTTCCTAGAAAACTCTAGGAAAAATGAGTATTTACATAGTTCATTTAGTTTGGAAAGCATCCTTGAGGATGTTTTCAATGGTAAAGTCAGATGCTCCTTAGCTTTTGGCAGAACTTCACAATCCTTGACTCTATCCACATCCTGAGCAATTCTGTTTATTCTGTGTTTCATATGAAGAACTGTTCCTCCTATGTTCTCTCCATAACCCTTGCTATGATTGGGGGTAATGATGAGCAGGATGGAGGACAAAGCTTTTGTTGGGAACCAAGGCATAAAGCACAGCCTTGGCTGAGGGTGCTGATGGAGCAGGACTTATAAGACAATGCCCTCTGTGAATTGTCCTCTTGGTCGTGCACCACAACCTGCCTGCTCCCCCTCAATACCACAGGCCTCGATGAAGTGGATAGGGTTGGGAGATCTCCTTGCAGGGATGCAACAGAGAAAAGGGATTGAAATCGTGTTGTGTCAAAACTGTGTTTTCAGTGTGCACGATGGTGTGCATCCAGTGCAGGCATATGCTCAGGGCCAGAACTTTGAATACAGTCAGGAGTCAGCTCTGGGCTGGTCTTCAGAGGAGCCCCAGGAGAGCAGTATAGATAACCATATATACAGGTCCACAGCCATTGTCTGCAAGGCTGGGCATTCCCTGGGCTTTTCCTGCTGTCTCTTATCTGGTGAATTGGCCATGAGCTCCTTGAAGGAAGGACTACTGCTTAGTTCTGTGTTTGTGTAACACCTCCTGCATTGAGGTTCTGGCCCTTGCTGGTTTTTATATCATTATTGTAATGCAGGTGAAAATCACACACATCACTTCAATGTTGTTTCCACCAAGGCTTTTGAGCCCTCAGGTTACTCCAGAGGGTTTATGTATGTGTAATTCCTAGAGCAGGAGGCTTTGAATGATATAGGTTTAAAGACAATCTGTTGATGCCTGATGGAAAAGACAGGCTAAATCATATTTCATTTGCATGCTGTTACCAAGCATAAATATTTCAATAATTTTCATTGACCTTTTTTAAGTTCCTAGATTAAAAAAATAGATGTGGGAGGGTTAGTGACAAAACAGTTATATTAGATGTGTCCTGAGTAAAAGGCAAATTCCAGTCTTGTATGCCCAGGCTAGACTCTGGAGACAGCAGAAAGAGGATAGCAAACAAGTCTGCAAAGAAGCTAATGTTATAGATGACTTGGGACAAAATTTTGGGAAGTTCTTGTTTCTTCCAGACCTAAGAAGCAGAATCTTCTGAGATGTGGTAGGGGCCAAAAACAACAGAAAAAACTCTGATAGCCTGGCTTGGCTGTAGGAGTTGCAGAGGAGCCAGGTTAGGTATTTGCTGCAGCATCTTCAGGGTAAGTCAGTTACTGGGACAAGAGGCACACTGGAAAGCAGGGGAAAGAGGGAAAAGCTGTGGTGAGGAGAACAAGGTGTTGGTGATGCATCACCTGCAGATGACCAATTTTTGTATAGTCCAGGCCAAACCAAGATGATTCCTGCTTTGAGCAAGGAAAGAAAGTAGCGGTGAATAGGTGGAAAGGAATCCTTATTGAGATGGCCTGGTCATCTTGATTTGTCCTTTCACCATCAGTAACATTTTCTGTTCTAGTCTAATGAAGAGTGTTTGGGAAATGCATGAGGTATCCAGGAACCAGTTAATTTTGGTTTGTTTCCTGGAGCAGAAGTATCACTAAGCTATGTAGTCACTGTTGTCATGGGAGAACCTCAACCTTGCCAAGGCCACCTGACCATGAGATTGAGTGCAATTTTGGGCCTTTGTGTCCAACAAATCCCTCCTCTTCCATCCAAAGAGCCCCCCATGTGCAGGGTACATGCTATAGCCTTACAGATGGCTCCATACTGGCACTGATGGCCCTACTTGGCCACTAACAGCAAAACAGAGCTAGAGAGAGGGCAGGCAAGAAGACAAAGAGTCAGTGAAAGAGAAGTGCAATGGGTTGGAAGGACAATGACAATGGGAATGGGAGAAGAGACTGTAAATGCTCAAAAAGATGCAGAATTATAGTTAACAGTTTAAATATCATAAAGCTATTCTGGGAGAAGTGGGAAGAAAAACTTAAAAGTAAGTAAAGGAAGGTTATAAAGAAAGATCATGAGTCGTAAGAAAGCAGAAGAAAGGCCAGTTAGGTTAAAGCCAGAGACTGAGAAAAGAAGGCATGTTGGGTGTGAGAAGGAAGAAACTCTTGAATGGCTGGCATTCAAGTGGGTCGAGGAGGAGAAGCACACGGAAAGCCCATGAATGACCAGAGCAGGGTGGTGATATGGGCTGCTGATGGGGAGGGCGAGAAGGTGCGGCTGTGGGAGCTCTGCAGCAGGGTTGTCTATTGCAGGCCCCTTCCCCTGGCAAGATTCAATGGGAGCCTGATATCACTGGTCAGTGAAGGCACTTGGGATTTAGCTCTTTAAGTCATAACATGCTGATGTAACACAGCTGTCAAATTGTGTAATTTACATTTATATAACCCCTGTTATTCCAATCTGGACTAAGAAAAGATTGCACTGTGCTAAAATCTTTCCTAGTTGAAACATGATGAAATATTACCTCACTAACACTGCATGTTAAAGTACACTAATTAAGTATCTGAGAGCCCAAAGATTAAGCATGCATGGATTACCCACTGTAATCTGGGGGGAGGGCAATAGGCATGCATACAAAATATTCAATCTAGAGTTCCCAATGGGAACATTTCCTTCTCCCTCTTTCAAGTTTCTCTTCACCACTTCTTTGAAGCTGCATTAAGATATGTCTACCCAATTACACATTTAACACAAATGCCACATATGCTCTGTAAAATCCTGTCTAGAAATCAACATATCATTTTTGCTTGGATGTTTTTTGTTTGGGACTGTTTCCTGATTTGTTCCCTAAGCAAGAGCACATGAGAAAATAATGCAGCATTAGATTACAAACTGTCCAGGGGCAGCTGGAGTTTTGGGCAGCCTTTGAGTGTCTGCAGCTTTGGGTCTACAACATCCTCAGCACAGGAAGGCACAAGAGCTCAGTGATGCACAATGTTAAGTGACGTGGTCATGGCTGTACAGCCCTTTCCAGGACTGTATTTACCTTATTATTATCTGCATGTAATTTTCTGTTTGTCTTGTTCCAGTGTATAGAGATCCCGTTAAAGAATTTGGGGTTCCTTGTTGCTGCATGCAGTACCAACTTCTAGAGGAAACACAGTCTCTAAAGCATCTGCTGCAGAAGGCTTACAATTTGCATGATTTATGTGGCAGAGAGGAGTAATTTATTTACTCCTTTCTGGTTCTGTGCTCCCTGCTACCCACTTGTGAAATGTTTATCTGAGCTTCTCTCTGCTAGCTAGTACTTCTCTAGTTGAATTATTTGAATGTTGAAAACAAATCCTTTCTTTCATCGGTGGATTTCCAGTAGTGTTTCTCACATGTCTTTCCTTAATTATTTCTCTTCATAAGAGGGACTGAGACATTCCCACTGGGAAATCTTTATGAATTTGTTGGAAGACAATGTTCTGGCCCCTTTTCACCTAAAATCGCCATGATTTGATCATGACATGGGGGGACCTGGAAGCTTTAAGCCACGATTCCCACCTCTCAGCAACAGCCCAGCTGGAGGGATTTTCAGGGGAAAGTTGGACCATAAGCTAGCAGAGGTAATTGAACCTGACTGCCACATAGTAGGTGGAACTTAGTCTACCAAGTGCCAAATAGAAGGGAAGAGGGTGCTTCTCATACCTTATTACCTGCCTTTTGTGAGTGATTCACCGTGTTGCCTATACCCTCATTTATGTAAATTATTTCTAGTTGCTGAGTGCTTCTGTCTTTCCCTTATGTGCAAAATGCAAACATGCAGAATAATGTCATGTATTAACAAGGCACCAACACAAGCAGAACCAAGGCCCTTCATTTCACTCTTGGTTTTTTTTGTACCTGAAATGCTCTTTCCTCTGTACATAACATATGTAAATGCCTTGAGCAGGTTATGTGTCCATTCTGTCTCTCTTAGCTCTGGTTTGCATTATTTCCACCTCTGTGACCAACTCAGACAGTTCTCAAGGGTCAAAGACCATATCTCAAGTGCCACCTGGAAAGTGCTGAAGTTACCTGCTCTTGAGAAGAGGATGACTCCATCATGGTATACTGTCATGTTTCCCATGAAACCCCAGCTTGATGCCATGATGCTTCCCTGAAGGCTGATGTCTCACCCCCAGGCAAGTCATGCACAGATAGAAGTAAGTACTTGTGATGAAACAGCCTGCTAAATGGGATGGGGAAACTCATGTGGATGGAAATGGACTTTTACCTTTTCTAATAGGAAGTCCAGCACAGTGGAGGTCACTGTATGTGTGATTAATTTTGTTCTTTTGTATTATGATGGAGTGTGTTTTCTTTGCTCCACTTCTTTTGGTCTGTTTGATTTCCCATTAATTTTGAAGTCCCCATTGTAAGCTTGAAGTAAATTGTGCCCTTCAGTGTTTGCTGAATTGGGGACCTTTCAGGTCTGAGCCTTATTATGGAGCTGAAACAGATGCTAAATGGTAAAATGCAGATATTGTCTCAGTCCCTCTGAGTTTTGCATTATCATGATGTGAAAATGATATTATTATAATATCATTATTATGATATTAGCATAAAACAGCCTTATGCAATGGGATGAATTTGTTATTGTACTTATCCTCTGCTTCTTAACATAGGAAATTGTTTTTCAGAGGGAAGCTTCCCACAGAAGATTGCATTTGATGGATTTACTCCAGAAATTTGGCCAAGATAAATTTTGAAAGTGAAGTCATAATTTACACATGAAATTTCAGGTACAAGATCTTTTTTCAAGCTCCATTGCTGTTTAAAAGTTAAGTAAAGGTTTATGCTTGATTAATTTAACTTTGATGATTGACTTTTGGGCTGAACACTGAGGAAAATGAGAGAGAATGTCTTACTGTGACATATATGTTTATTTAAAAAAAAAAAAAACAAAAAAATACACTCAAAATTTAGGGCTAAACCCAAAACCAACAAGACACCTCAGATAAGTTTGGAGAAAGATTTTGATTCCATTATCCTGTTGGAGTGGATCATTCCATGTATGGGATAAGCTGGTTGAACAGCCTGCATATCCTGCAGGTTTCCTGAGAAATCAAGGAAAAATATATACAGAGCAATTTGCTGCTAGGAGGAATGGCACCAGAGAGCCCTTAGTATCAGGTCTTTATTTGTGAGAGGAAATCCAGACAAAGGGGATGAAGTTCTGGTGCAGCAGCATGTGGGGTCTGCTTGGATGACCTTGGTACAGCTCCCTGCTGTCCTCCAGACCCCTTCCACAAGGCAGGGTGAAGGAGGTCAGTGGAAGGCAAGTGATGGTGCATCCCTTGATGTCTGCAGCTCTCACACTACCAGCCCACCTCAGAAGCAAGGCATCAAGGGCAGCGTTGCCTCTGCATTACCACCAGTTTTCCACTGTACAGTGTAGTGGTCTCCCTGCTCAGCACATTGGCTACTGTCAATCCCTTTCCAAAGGACTCAACTCCTTTATAATATTTTTGAGATCTGTAGATCCTCAGGTCAAACTCCAAAGGGATGGAAGAGTTGCAGCACCTAGAAGGACTCCAGGATACAATCCTCAGCCAAGTGAGGAGTCTTTTCCTTCTTGCTGTTGTGCTTTGGCCTCTTTCTAGGGTAATGCCTATATTCCAAGAATAAGTGGGCTGGTACATAACACTCATGAATTCTTAAGGGCAAATATGGCTGTGTCGATTAGAAAAACTTCTCTAGTGAGTGTCTGTTAAGATGGGGAGGTGAGCTGTATGCCTGACTCCCAGTTTCCTTATGCTGCTTCAGGTAAGCCCGTGTACATGGGAGGTGGGACTGCTGAGCTACAAGTGCATGAACTCACTTCACCCTGGGGATGGGCTGCAGTCCTCCTGCTCTTTAGGGCAAGGAACAAGTGAAGTGCATGTTGCCTGATTTCAGCTTCACTTCTTCCACCTATTTGAGCTAATCTTTGAAAGTGCTTAGTTTTCCTGGTGTCACACCTTCTGAGTACTGATTGGCTAAAGAGAAAAATGACAGGTGAATATGCTCCACATAATTTATGGGAAAGTAATACAGAAGTAACAAAAGCCACTTTTTTTTCCTGTGGTTTTTGTTACCATAAAATGGGACTGGATGGGAATCCAGTACACTTAGTAAAGAGTACACTTTAGTAGTTCCCAGATACTAATGAGAAACAATCCAGCAGCTTGTGGTACTTAAGATTTCAGGAAAAGCAACAAATGACTTTAACTTCTTCTCATCCACATCAACAAGACCACAAACCACTGATCTCCTAAAAAATGGTGCATCCAGAAAACCTACTAGATGGTTTTATGAAGGACTCATTGTTTTTCAAAACAAAATGAATGTGGAAAGGACAATTTTTGGCAAATAATTACATCTGTAATGGAAAACATACTGGCTCATTAAACTACACTCTTAATCTTCCTCACTTATTTATCAGCTTTTGATGGAGTAGAGTCTGGGATTTATATTCTGTCCAGTGTCTCACAGAACTCTTGTCCAGTAAAAAAGGTCATCTGTAAATCTCACATAGGCAAGCGTAACATTTTCCTACCATAACATCATCTTTTAAAAAAGGAAAAAAAAAGGACACAGCATTAAAAGTTAAAAGCTGCTGTAAAGCTAAGAAAATACATTTGTTCAGCTGAGCCCACGTTAAGCTTGATTGCTTCATTTGGAAACAGCTGAAACTGGGTAATCTTGAGCTTGTAGTGAGAAATATCAATTTAACATGTAGTTGGTGTGCTAAGGGCTGCCCTGTTCTAATTAAAAATCCACTGTGTTTTTATGGTGGTATTCTGGAGGATGTCTTGATTTGCTGATGAATGCTGACAGGACTATTAAAGCTGTGAAACAACATCACTTGAACATGGCACGAAATGAAAGAAAAGGCACTGCCATGCTGCTCTTGGGTGTTATTATCCTGATTAAAATTGGAGCCAAAGTGAAAATCATCCCTGGGCAATGCATTTATTTATTTATTTATTTATTTATTTAAAAGAGTCACCCATATAGAACATAGCCTTTCATTTATTCCCTTAAATTGCCTGTGACAAGCTGAAAATACCTATTTTACCTTTTTTTGTCATGTATTCAAAAGTCTAGGAGTCATTCAGATGCTGACTTGATCTACAAGCTAGGCAGCCAAGCCAGAGCCTTACCAGCTTGAGGTTTTGGGGGCAAATCAAACATCTCTTAGGTCTTTCTGTGTGAGATGTGGCACAGATTAGATTAGAAATAAAGTAAACTTCCTTGCATGAGGTCCAAACAATGCTTTTATTTTTTATGCATGATTATAGGGTGATTTTAATTAACCTTTCTCCTGTCCTCAACCAGCACATGAACAGAATGCATCACAGGGTTGAGCATGGCCAGAGAACTGGGCATGCCTGGGGAGCTGGAGGCAAAAGAAGGATGTTGGCTGGAGATGGGGCTGGCACCATGAGTGGATGGTGCCTTCAGCCCTGAGGGGAGGGGGCCTCCTCCAAGCCTTGTAAGGAATGGGTCAACTAGGTTCACCTGATGACCAATGTAGAAGTGGGAACAAATAAGCACTCGTTTTCCGTCCAATCAAGATATCAATAAAATTAACTGAGGCACAAAGGGATGGGAGGAAAAAGACTATTTATTGGTCTATACACCAGCGCCCCTAAACTCATAATAAATGTTTGCATTGCTGTCACTGGATGCTGCCCATAGAACGAACTCACATGCCTGGAACCCAAGAGGCCCCGAATGTAACATATTTAGGAATAGTCAAGAGGGGAGGGGGAATGGCAGGCCACATAAAATGTGCTGTTATCTTTCTTTGAGTCACGGGGCGTCCTCTCCCTCCCCCTCTTCTCCTCTCCTGTTTCCCCTCCCCCCTGCCCCCTACCAGGTTTGCACTCTGTTTTTAGAGGAGTTGTGCTTGGAGAATGTGATGGCAGGAGAAAACAGCTGCTTTGATCCCAGCAACTGAAGAGTTTCCCTGGAGTGTGCAAGCCTGTGGTGGTACAGCATGGAATGCCCTTCTGTCAGGTACTGGCACCAGACAGAAGGTTGCCCCTGTAGACAGGAACTCCTGTCTGGCATAGCTGCTTGGGACTGGGTTCAGTGTTTCAGCGGAGTGGAGAAGGTATGGACAGGCACTGGCTTTATCCATAATGTCTCCTGATACTTTTAGAAAAGAATTTGTGTGTGTTGCTTGTTATTGTAGATTCCTGTGTAGAAGGGTGTAGAAGATGGGCATACAGCATCCATCATGCATACTCATCTCTTTGAAGGAGCTGCTGAAGCCTGGAGATGACATAGAATCTGGCTCTGCGAGGTATTATGTCAAGTAGCTGCACATGGGAAAGGGTCTGGTAACATCTCTTGCATTTCTTTGTTCCTGCATGGTTCACATGAGGTCATGAAAATTACAGCAAATGCTTTTCTGTGAAAAAATGAGATGCTTGTAATTAGCATTCAACAGAATTCATAAAATCACTGTAGTAGGGTTTTCTAATGCCTCCCTATACTGTGTGCTGGAATGAAAAAACCCCTAGATGCTGGAAGTTTCAATTTGAATGACATGCTGGGTCTCCCATTCTGTCAACAGTAAAATATTCTAGACTTTTCCAGACACTGAATTTTAAACAATGTAGCAGAACCGAACAGTATAACAGATTTAATCATAGTGGATAGAGGAAATAAACACAGAACTATATGCCAAAATTAGACCACAAGAAGGTTATAACCAGATTACTATATGGAGATAGAATAAACTCTAGAACACATAAGAAATAAGAAGTCCAAAAGCCTGATAATAGAAATAAAAAAAATAAATCACTAATTGGAGTTGAGGAATAAATTGAGCCAAAACCAGTAGGAAAGATACTTGGAAGCTTAGGAAAAAAATAGTATTGGCCACTGAGATGAGAAATGGAAGAAGTGCCAGTTATAATGGAGAAAAACAGAAGTGTTAGGCAAATATAGCAACCACCCTAGCAGCAAAAAGAGGCTTAAGAGAGAGTATCTTGAGAAAGCACAAATAGCCAAAGACATAAGTACAAGACAGAACTATGGGGTGTCCCTGTGCACCCCCACTGAGACACTGACACAATCAAATACTTCCATAAAGTGTCTGTACACTAACACACACAGTAGGGGGAACAAACAGGAGCAACTAGAGATCTGTGTGCAATCACAGGGCTTTGACCTCACTGCAATTATGGAGACATGGTGGGACAGCTCCCATGACTGGAATGTTGTCATGATGGGCTACATGCTTTTCAGGGAAGACAGACCTGGAAGGCGCCCTGGTGGAGTGGCCCTCTGTGTGAGACAACATTTGGAATGTATTGAGCTCTGTCTTAGAGTGGATGATGAGCAAGTAGAGAGCTTATGGGTTAGGATTAAAGGGCAGACTAAGTAAGGGTGACGCTGTTGTGGGTATTTGCTACAGGCTGCCTGATCAGGAGGAGGAACTGGATGATGTAGCACTAAATCTGATGAGAAACTTGTTTAAACATGTCTTAAAATGGCTTTTGGTGGTCTCTTTGCAAACACATGCTTCTTCTTCCCAACACCCCCCACGACAACTGTTATCTCCCATGCAGGAATGTCCTGGGAAAGGTGTCGTAAGGTGTTCTCATTGGACCTTGTTAACCCCTTCCTGTGATTGGGTGTTCATGTAAGCCCCTTGAGACTTCTGACTGGTTACTCTGTAAATCCTCCTAAACCCTATAAATGTAACATCCCCAACAATAAACTCTCTCTTGCCTCCTCTCCACGCCCAGTGTGCTGTCTCCATGCTGGCCATGGAACCACGTGGGTGGGGAGAAGAGGGGAGGGCACCTCTCCCCTCCAGGATCAGGGCCTGAAGAAACCCCTGATGCTGGAGTTCCCTTTCCCCATCCTTCAAGACGTCGGAATGGTTCCTCAGATGGAGATGGAACTAGAACTGGGCCGCCCCATGCCGTGGGTGGGGAAGGGGATCCAGAGGATGAGGCCTTCTGTAGGGAGCTTGAACTAGTCTCAGGAACTGGTTCTTGTGGGGGACTTTAACCACCCTGACATCTGTGGGAGAAGCAACACAGTGAAGCACAAACAGTCCAAGAGATTCCTCAAAAGCATCGATGACAATATCCTGTCACAGGTGATGGAGGATTCTACAAGGAATGGTGTGCTCCTTGACCTCATACTAACAAACAGGGAAGGTGTTGTTGGAGATGTGAAGGTTGGGTGCAGCCTTGGCTGCGGTGACTATGGGATTGTGAAGTTCAGTATTGGGCAAGGAGGAAGCAGGGCAGAAAGCAAGCTTACAACCATGGACTTCAGGAGAGCTCACTTTAGTGTCTTCAGGGATCCTGAAAAAATCCTCTGGAAACAGGCCCTGAAGGGAAGAGGGGTCAAGACAGTTGGTTGATATTTAAGGATCATTTCCTCCAGGTTCAAGAACAATGTATCCTGATGAGCAAGAAATTGGGCAAAGGGGAAAAGAGACCTGTGTGGATGAATAAAGAACCCTGCCATTATTCAAGCATAAGCAGGAAATACACCAGGAGATGGAAGCAGGATCAGGGAACTTGGAATGGATATAGAGGGGTTGTCAGAGTTAGAAATGAGACAAGGAAGTTCAAGGCCCATCTGGAATTAAATGTGGTCAAGGATGTCAAGGGAACCAACACAGGCTTTTCCAAATATATCAGTAACAACAGGAAAAAAAAGGATAATGTGGGCCCATCACTAAATGGAGGGGGTACCCTCTGTTACCATCCCTGGTAACAAAGGACACAGAGAAGGCAGAGTTACTGAAAGCCTTCTTTGCATTGGTCTGCACTGGCAAGGCCAGCCCCCAGAAATTTCTGACCCAGGAGATCAGGGTAAAGGAATGTTGGAAGATTTTCCTTTGGTCAAGAAGGATTGGGTTAAAGAACACCTAGGAAAACTTGACACTCAGAAGTCCATTTGTCCTGAGGGGATGCATCCATGAGTGCTCAGAGAGCTGGTGGATACCACAGTGAGGCAGCTCACGATCATCTTTGAAAAGTCATGGAGATCAGGAGAGAGGCCTGAGGACTGGAAAAAAGCAGATGTCACCCCAGCATTCAAACATGGGCAAGAAGAAGGTCCCAGAGAACTGCTGGCCCATCAGCCTCACCTCAATCCCTGGAAAGGTGATGAAGCACTTCATTCTGGTGGTCATCTCTATCCACATGGATGACAGGAAAGTGATCAGGAGTAGTCAGCATGGAAGGGAAATCGTGCTTGACCAACCTGATTGCCTTCTGTGATGAAACAGCTACCCGGAAGGATGAAGGGAGAGCAGGGATATTGTCTACCTCTTCAGCAAGGCCTTTGACATTATCTCTCAAAACATCCTCACAGGCAAACTAAGGAAGTGTGAACTGGGTGAGTGGACAGTGAGGTGGACAGTGAGGTGGATTGAGAACTGGCTGAACAGCAGATTGCAGAGAATCATTATCAGTGGCACAGGGTCTAGTTGGAGACCTCTCATTAGTGGTGTCCCCTGAGGTTCAATACTGGGCCCAGTATTGTTGAACTTATTAATCAATGACTTGGATGACAGGGCAGATGCCTCCTTAGCAAGTTCACTGACAACACAAAGCTGGGAGGAGTGGTCAGTACCCCAGAGGGCTGTGCAGCCCCTCAGAAGGACCTCAACACATTGGAGAGATGGACACTCACTGAAGGTATTCAAGAACTGTCTGGACACAATCCTGTGTCATGTGCTCTAGGAAGACTCTAAGGTTGAGCAGGGAGGTTGGACCAGATGCCTCACTGTGGTCCCTTCAAGTCTTACCAATTCTGTGAAATACTTTTGTTATGTCTTTGGGGAAAAGCCGTGGGAATTAGTCATATTACATGCTGATCCTGATACTGAATCACTTTCCATTCCAACATTTCTCAAAAGATTTAAACAGCAGGTGCTAAAGCTAGACGTTTTAAAATTGGGACATCTAGATAATTTGCATCTGAGAGTTTTATAAGAGTTTGCTGAAGAGGTCTTTGGATGATTAATGGCACTTTTCAATAAATCTTGGAACAGTGCTAAGTTTTAGAGGACACAGCAAAAATTAACGACACGCCATAATAAAAGGGGTAAAATTGCACCGTGCACCTTTTAAGCCTTTTAACTTTACACTGATCATGTAAAAAACCCCCATAATTGGGAATGAAATTCTCACTAAATAAAGAATGGAGCAAGTTAATATAATTAATTTCAAACCCACAGTTTTCAGGGAAAATCTCTTGAAACTAACCTGTCGTTCAGCGTGTTTTTTCTTATACTGAAAATTTGTTTGAAAAGCAAGTCTCGTAAAATGTTTGATAATGTACTCTGTAGCATTTTAATCAAGAGCAATGTAATTTACTGCCTGAAGTGTAGTAAATTGGTTAGATGTTGTAATATTATAATAAATTGATCACCACTTCTGAATATTTTTAGTTGCATCTTGTCATTCTAGGTCCTATCTTCTCAATTTTTTGAACTGAAGATCTGAAAGGAAATCATTGCAGAAAAGGTTTGCAACCAATGTGGAGACTGGGGAGGGGTAAGTAACAGAGACAGGCAGCTAATAAAAAAAGAGATAGGACTTCTGAATCAAGCACATCAGTAAGGGTAATGCCATACTTCCGGGAAAACAGAAAATGAGCCTTTCTTGTGAGATAGGCAGCTCTGATTTGTTAAAAGTAACTCTCCACAGGATTCTGTCAGGCAAAGTAATCTAAATAAGCTGATCAGATCCTTCAGTGTACAAAGAGGGAATCACAGGTAGGTACAGGGAGATCAGAAGTGGTGAAAGATTAGATCTTCTGGTGAAAGACTCATGGGGTTCAATCTGATTATTTTAATAAAAAGGAAAGTTAGAATTTAAGGTATAGATTTGAGGTACTCTCAATACATAGAATTGATAATTATGTTGCATTAAAGCCCTAGTTAACCAATGCTAAGAGTTAGAACTTTGGTACCATATGAGACAAAACAACCTTAAGCTGCAGGCTGACAGTTTTGGAGTAGAAATAAGATTCAAATATTTTTAGAGTGGTTTTAACTGTTTGAGCTATATTAAATTAATATGGCACATTTTCTTTGGTGGACACATTAAAGTCAGAATTTTTAAAAGAAGATACGGTGTCATTCAAACAATTATTTTAGGGAAATTTTATGTGTTATCTTTATAGAGAAGATCAAAGCAGAAGAACATATCAAACTGCACTGGTGTAATAAATATATTAATCTACTGGATGAATAGCTGAGTTTGTAATGCTGTCTGGAAGGCTGAAACCATTATGAAAGAATGTGGAGAAAGGAAAGAAAAGCTAAGGAATCTGGAGAGGCAAAGAGAATATATCTGTTCTGAGTAGGACACTGGATGAAAGGTTTTGGATCAACTGAGGTTATGCTGCATGCCAGTGACCACCAGAGTATGCTGTGAAGCTTTGAATGGACATGTGCTTCCCACATGTTGCTGGTCTTCCTTGTCTAGAGAAAACCTGCAAATTGTTCTAGACCTTTGCATGTCTGATCCAATCTTGGTCCAGTTCTCTTGGAATGGGTACATATCGTTCTTGCACTGGGGCCTTCTTCCCTCATGTCCCTCATGTCACAAGGCAGAGCATTGATTTTGAAGCCTTCGTTTCTACAAACACTAGCTAATGGGGCTACTAATACCAAGTTACTTACCTTTTTCTCTCTCTGTTAAAAGCCCAAGCTAGCAAACAGTCAATCAACCTTTCCCCAACCTTAATCACTCACATAAATTTTCTTGAAAGAACTGCACTTAAAGCTGAAAAAAACAGTTCCTCAAAAACTTGGAAGTACAGAGAATAATTTGTCTCCCTTGAATATGTGTGAAATGAGGCAATCTATAGTCATCCTTTCCCATGGATCTTCACATTCTTCTCCAATTGAGAGGCCAAGAACACCACACAGTGCTCAAGGTGAGGCTGCACAGATGCTGTTACAGCAAGACAGTCAGCTCTGTTGACCAGCTGGTGATGCTGAGTTTGATGCATTCCGGGACGTGTTTGTCCTCTGGGATGCCTGGGCATGCTGCTGACTCCTACTGAGTCTGCTGCCGACCAGCACCTCCAGATCCCTTCCTGCAGGGCTACTCTCCAGCCACCCCATCCCAGGTGCAGAATCTGGCATTCAGACTTGTCAAATTTCATGCCATCAATCATTGCCCAATGCTGCAAGCTATCTAGATCCCTCCACAAGGCATCTTGTCCTTCAAAAGAGTCAATGACACCTCCTTGTTTGGTATCACCAGCAAACTTGTTAATGGCGCATTCAACTCCTACATCCACATCCTTAATAAATATATTGAACAGAACTGGCTCTGGGATTGATCTCTGAGGAACACTGCTGGGGCAGTTCACCAGGCAAATGTAGCCCCATTCACTACAACCCTTTAAGCTCTGCCCTTCTGCCCAGCTTACCCCAGCTCTGCCCACTCATCCCACAGGTGGACAATTTGTCCTGAAGGATGTTGTGAGTTATCTGACCCTGAGATTAGCTCAGAGCATGGTGCTAATAACACCAAAGTTGTGGGTTCAATCCCTGTAAGGGCCTTTCATTTGAGAGGTGGACTCGATGCTCCTTATGGGTCCCTTCCAACTCAGAATATTCTGTGATTCTGTGACAGTATCAAAAGCCTTGCTATAATTCAGAAAAACTGTACCCATAGCCTTCCCCTCATCCACTGGGTGGGTGACCTTATCATAGAAGGATAATCAAATTAGTTAAAAGAGTCTTTCCCTTTGTGAGCCCATGTTGACTGTGCCTGATGATTGAGTTATTCTTTAAATACCTTTCAAAGAGCACTTCAGATTACCCTTGTGCAACTCTTGCTGTCCATGGGAAACCGTCTGTGCTACCTACAACACTTTGAATATGCAGTTGTGCTGATCTTGGCTGGGATAGAGTTAATTTCCTTCACAGGAACTGGTATGGGGCTGTGTTTTGGACTTGTGCTGAAAGCAGTGTTGATAACTCTGGGATGTTTTCGTTATTGCTGACCAGTGCTTACACAGCATCAAGGCCTTTTCTGCTTCTCATGTCACCCCCAAATGAGTAGGCTGGGGGTGCACAAGTCGTTGGGAGGGGACACAGCTGGGACAGCTTATTCCAACTGACTAAAGGGATATCCCAGATCATATAGTGTCATGTTCAGTGTATAAAGCTGGGAGAAGAAGAATGAAAGGGAGGATGTTCAGAGTGATGGCATTTGTCTTCCTAAGTTGCCGTTACACGTGATGGGGCCCTGCCCTCCTGGAGATGGCTGAACACCTGGCTGCCCATGGGAAAAAATGGATTAATTCCTTGCTTTGCTTTGCTTGCCTGCGCAGCTTTTGCTTTACCCATTAAATTGTCTTTATTCCTGCCCATGAGTTTTCTCACTTTTACTCTTCCAGTTCTCTCCTCTATCCCTCTGTGGGAGAGTGAGCGAGTGGCTGCGTGGGGTTGAGCTGCTGGCTGGGATTAAACCATGACAACAGCTCATAAGAAAATTGTAAATATACTGTTAGGGATATATATTTAGATATTAATGAGAAAAATGGAAGCATCAAGCTCTCTTTAAGAATCAAAGATTTGTTAATTATGTCTATTTTCTTCTTCTGTGATATAGTATCAAAATTATTAATCAAACTATTCTAAATAGATTGATTAAATATTTCTATGCCTTAGCTGTTTTGTGAACAATAATTTTAGAATCTTTTGTTTTTCACCTATTAAGAGTTGGGTTTTCCTTCCCTATATCTTTGACAGATATTATCAGTGGATCCTATTCCCAGTAAGGATATGACAGTGGATCCTAGGAGTCTTTCTGGAACCCCAGGAGATGAGATGTTACCAAGAAATGCAGCCACAGATTAAAGTGGATACAGGAAATTATTTGCTCACAGCTCCCATGAGAATCAACAGCTCAAAGTGTTTTTTTTTTTAATACATATTTTTTATTTTATATGCTTATTTTTTTGTTTGTTTTGATGGAGTGTCCACTTGCCCAACCTCTTTTTCTAATGCTTTCTTTTATGATTAAAGTGCCCCTTTTCTGCAATGGTTGATTTAGTCACAACTCCTGGACTTTCCATTGAAATTATTTTCCTACTGGCAAAAGGAAAGGTAACACTGAAAACACTTCTCTGCAAAACAAGCTCTGTGTTACAAAGCTACAAGCCCAATATATTAACTTCAAAATGTTTTCCCTGGAATTTTCAGGCAAACCAACACTTCTTAGGAGCAGGGAAACGCTCCCAAAGTGCCACAGGACCAAGGTGCTGAAGTCTGATGCCGGGGATAAAGAGGTGCTGGGACAATACAGCAGGAGGTTCCATATACATGCACCTATATCAACATCAATCAGCAAAGTGAAGGTGCCTTTGTATTTAGACAGGTCTGTGCTGTGCCTTACAATGCTGAGTTTATAGAAAGGCCCAGCCAGAAAAGCACTCTACACCCAGATATCATAACAAAAGTGACATTCAGGATAGTAAAATAAATATTAATTTCTTCATCTTCCCATATTCATCTCAGACATCCAGCTAACTCTAATAATACTTTACACTATAATGCTTTACAAATACAACTATTCCAAATTAATAGAATTGTTTTGATAAATACTTGTGAGTTCATTTTACACTCTTTGCCCACTGATGGCTTTCCAGCTATGGGACAGAGTGTTAGGCTTTTTTTTTGCATGCTTGTAAATGTATCAAACCTAAAAGCCATAGTAGCTTTTGAAACACTAACAATATCACTCAGTGCTTATATTACCCTTTACATCTTCAGAGCCTTGTATGAACAGACATGAATGAAATGTGGTAATAGATTTATTGTATTGCAAACCTGCTTTGCTATTCCTCCAGCCGCTTCAGCAGGTCTCGTGCTGATGCCTGTGAGAACAACACACTGATGCTTCAGATGACTAACCACTGAAACTGGGCTGAGGAGAGCTATGATTTCCCCTGTATCTCCCTCAAAGGCAGGTCAGACATTACACATAAAAATTTTGAAAAGACTCTGCCAGCAGATTTGTACTCAACATGGTCAGGTGCCATGTACTCAAGAGAGTCCTCCTCCCTCCGCTGTCACCTGTTCTTGGACTGTCTTTGGGTGCCAGCCAGCATCTTTTAGCTTGGCAGAGTGTCCAGAGCAGTCTTGGTGCATGGCTTGGAGCTTGTAGGAGTGCGAATACAAGTTACTATAAATTGTCATAAAGGAAGACTTTTCCAGATGCTAATAGTGGGAAAAATCATAGTGCCTTACACAGAGGGGAACACCCACATGGTTTGTACCCCACTTTGGGGCTCAGCAGTTCATGATGGTGCCCCTGCCCTTGGTCTACAGAGGTGTCCCACATTCCCATTGTCCAAACCATGGAGGGGAGAAAAAGGTCAGCTAGAGCAGAAGAGAAGCAAATGGTATGGAAAATACCCAGCAACCTTTCAATGCTTCAAAGGGCTCCTTGCAAAAGGAGAGGCTGAGGTTACTGAGGTCCCTGGGCTGTGTCCTCCTTCCATCTGCAGACTTGTCTGCCTGCAAGGGATGGGAACTGATTTTGGCTGCTTCATCTTCCCAAGGTGCCCCCACCTCCTCCAGAGGTGCCCCCAGGATGTCTCCTAGCTGGCATTACTCCTTCATGGCCAAGTGTGCCACTGGCCTGGCAAGGGCTGTGCTACATCGCTGGGAGCTGCTCTGCACCACAGGAGGACGATGGTGAGGCTGCCACATTCGCTATGCTGAAAGTAAACTGTATGTCAAATACTTTTCCATCTGGCATCTGTTAAAATAATGTGTGTGTGAGCATATGTGTGTGTGTGTGTGTTTGCGAGTGTGTATGTGTGTGTAAAAAATGTGGACACACTCTCTGATTTCAAATATATAACAAAATGCATGTTTCAAATTATGTTTTGATTTTGGGTTTTCTGTTAACTGGAAAGATCCTTTATTTCAGAGTTTGTGCAAACTATTTTACTTAACATATTATCTGTAACAAATTGCATAAGCATGACTGTTATCTGCGTTAGTCATCACTTTAGACCATGGAATATAACTCATGCAGTCTGGATTTAATGAATGTTTGAATTAACCTATACCTAATTTCTTGTGTTTTAAAACCTAAATCTCATTGAAAGCTGAGCTTTGTTTACTTCCCAAAATTGATCTAAGGGCCATTTGGAACACTTAGTGTATTCTAAAATGTGATCATATCAACAATACACACTCAAGTTTGTTTTAAAGTGAGTTTTTCTTTCCTAGTTTACATAAATCATTTAAAAAAATCGTTCACTTTTTTGGATCATAATGTACTCACTTGGCTTTTAGACCTACATCGCTCACAGGCCAATTTTTCAAACAGGATTCTAAAGCTATTTGTGGATTACTTTCTGTTTGCTACTTGTAATCTGCATTCCTGAAGCAAGCATGCTAAAATGACTGAGGATTTTCATCGAGCTAAGTGATTATACTAAATAGGGCAATTTTGGGTGCTCTTAGCTTCTATGTTTAAAAATACAATACAGAAGAAATCAACACCACATTTTCTGTTAAACCACAGAGGGCACTGTTTGTTCTAAGTATAAAATGGCCCTGTTACATCGACTCTTGTCAGTCTTCATTAAGCAATTAATGTTAAGGGCTTAAATTTAGCCTTTTTTCTCCTTTTTTTCCTTCTTTGATTTAAAAATTGACCAGGTGTATCATACTGATGCACACTCTCATGTTTTTTCAGTGTTTGGCACCAAATATTAACTTGGAGCATCCCTCCTTTCCTTACTGCTTCACCACACTACTGGAGTCAGAAAGTTTTCTTTCCAGCAATGGGTCTGGAGACTCAGTGCAAGAAACTGCATCGTGATTGTTTGATGGTTAATTAGCACTCAGCATTTTAACTTGCTCTTTTGGCTTAAAGTGTTGAAGAAAAGGAGACAAAGCAGCACTGGCAACAACTGAAGTGTTAACTCCTAATGTTTTTCTTCTGCTGCTTTTAACCAGGATGCAGTAGAATAAACAAAGCAACAATGAGGTTGAAAGTCAATTGGCTATGACAGTTTTGCAAATGTTTATTTATATATTACTTGAAATATTCTGAGCAAAACATGATGATATTTTCAGTTTTCTCAAAAGAAAAAAATCTTCCGAAATACTTGACACAGAAAAAGCAATAGCAAAATTTACAGGTTTTTATAAAAATAAAGATTTTTTTTTTCAATTCCATGTTTTTGTTTGTTTGTTTCTGTAAAAGATGCCGAAAAAATATCAGAACTCCATGCAAAACAAATTTGGGACTTGTTTTGTCTCAGAGTATTGTTGATACAAAGTGGCCTTAGATCATTGTGCAGAATCTCACACAGAGACAATATAAACTGTTTATAATATAAAAATCCTCGTAGACTCAGGGAAAGAAATAAAAAGTAGAAATTGAGAAAACTGTCAACCTCAAAGTAATGGAAAGATTCTTGTTCACTTGTGCTCGTGTTAACTGTTGTGCAAGTTCGGGACATCTCAGAAGTCTATGAAGTATTACTTAATTTGCTATTTGTTCAATTAAAGGTGTATTTTAGTAGTTCCTCTCTCCCTCTAACAGTGAGCCTTATGAACTTTGCTGGTTAATTTAATTTCTTGTTTGTTTGAGGCCTGGATAATTTCTGGGATAATTTTTTTCCATTTCACTTCCCCAATGTGTATATAAAGCTGATGCCAACATTTGTGAGATGCTTTGCAGCTCTTGATGACACACTGCATGGTCTTAGCCAGACATAGCAGGGTTTGCTTTCTCTGTGCCTGGCCAAAGACACAGTTAGGACACATATGATTGTTCATGTTGCAAGCACTTGAAAAAGATTGCCAAAGTTGAATATGCTTCTGGAAAACAGAGTTGCCCAGGATCCCCTGATGGGCAACTTGTGATTTCATCACTGGGCAACCTATTACAATGCTAAATTATCTGATGGTGGATTTTTTCTTTATATTCAGGTTGAATCCCTCTCGTTCCAATTTATAGCTGGTGTCTCTAATATTCCTGACATGTCCTGAGAGAGACCCTTGAGGAACTCCTCACCAGGCACTACGTAGGGTACTACCCAATAACAATTACCCTTTGAAATGGACAATCTGAACAGTTTTTCCTCCATCTTGCAGTCCAGCCATCAGGACTGTAAAGACTTACCTTGGATATAAGAATGCTGCAGGAGGCCATGTGGAAAGTGTTGTTAAAGGAAGCCTTTCCTCCACTGGGAAATGACTCATGAAAAGGGTGCTGTTCTTGGGCCTTTATTTAAAGGGACAATTTTTAAAAGAGATAATTGAGAGTGTCCAGAGAAATGGAAATTTCTCTGCTGATTTCTAGGTTTTTTTTTCCTTTTAAAATATGAGATAGTACATTGAATTTACCCTCTGAGAGTAGTTCAATCAACTCATCCCTTGATACAAGGTGAAGCATGATAAAGTTTTGGAGGTTTCTTCTAAAGCATGCAGTAGTAAAGGTCCAGTCTTTTTAAACCTGAATAGGAGATTGTTTATACCATCAAATAGGCAAACTGTGCTGCACAGCTGGAGTGTTATTTTCTTTGAAGACAAGGAAATTATCTTGCAGGTGAGGTGTGTATGCATTTTAGGATTGGGTCTGCATTACCATGGGATAGTTAAAAAAACACACAGATAGGTCTGCAGAAGAATGCGATTTTTCAAAATGTTCTTCTTTGCCTGCCTGATTTTCAAAAACTGGAAACATAATCTGGGAAATAGGGCCACAAAGTCATTACAAAAGCCTTGCACAGCACAACTCCTGCTGTTTTTGGCTTTTCCATCTCCTCCATATGCCAATTCATTCCTAGCTATGCTTATCAAGGGATCATAAGCATTTTCCATCTCATTTGATTTTTGAACCTGGAATTCAGTATTCTGCTACATAGAATATTGGAACTGTTCTAATTTGCTAAGTTTAGGCATATCCTGAATATCTAAATATTATTAAACATAAGGTTCCTTTGATTTTTTCTTTTAAGTGACATAGAATGAATTTGTAGAAGAGAAATCAGTACTTCAGTTATCCATAATGCATCTGTTTATGTTTCCAACTGGTGCACTTTATCACTAAGTCATTGGTTTATATTACAAAATGATGGCTGTGTAATAAGTAGTTAGCAAAAACCACAAGCACGTCTTTGAAATAACACTAATGGCTATTTTTGATGAAATATATGAGGCTTTGTGAAAATGATTTGATGAAGAAATGTATTTTCTTTACTTCCTGTTAACAGTGAGCATGTTGAAGCCCTTTAATCTCTGCTGCACAACTAAACATTTTTTTTCTTATTTGGGATTAGTTTGAACTGGCAAGAACCATTTAATAAATAAGAGACTTTAAAGCAAGAGAAATTGAGCAGGGAAGCACTAATTAACAATAGCTGGTAAAGCTGGGAATTAGTCCTTCTTCCTTTTTCTATGCTCATCTAGTTTATGGCATTGAGGATGCTCTTCTGCTAGCTGATTTTGTATATGTAAGAATCAATAAATAATAGTAAATTATAAAGCATGCTGGATGACCCAAGCATGATGACAGTTTTAAGACTAAGATTTGCTCTAAAGGGATTAAATT